CTGAAGGATTAGCTGAAGAACCAGCAAAATGCATACCAGAGAGTTGTGCGGCGGATGTAGAGGTGATATGTTGAAAAGCATCAAGTTGACGGCGAAGACTTTCAATAGCTTGAATAGTAGAGTCTGAAGTAGTAGAAGGTATAGCATTGGCCAACAATCCTGGTGTACGAGAGGGTTGAGACTGAGGGGGTCGCCGACCACGTCCAGTACCTGAGGAACGTAACTCAGGATGAAGCTTGAAGCATGTCTCAATGCGGTGTCCTTCCTTCTTACAATATTTGCAAGAGAGCTTAGATCGAGCCTGTGGAGAGGGAGCCTGTGGAGAAGTATAATTCATAACAGGAGCAGTGACAGGTACAGACAAAACAGTCTCGAGTGAAGAGGTAGGAGTGTCTGTTGACAAATTGAGTCGTGCTGTCTGCTGCCGGGTCTCATAAGCAGTGAGAGCTCCCATAACTGAGGCCAAAGTCGGAAATTGAGGCTGGTGAAGTAGTTGATCAGCCATAGTTGAATATTCAGGAAGGGACTGAAACAATTGATGCACCTCATGCCGTTCGTACCAGGCTAGCCAGTCTTCATATGTGGAATTACGTCCAGGAAGCATGGAGCGTAACTCTGTCCAAAAAGCTTGCATTTGTCCAAAATGGGACTGCAGAGATGAACTACCTTTGCGTTGTAGAGAAATGCGTTGCAGAAGATATGCCTCCCGTGCACCCGAGCACTCAGTGAAACGCTCAGTGAGACGAGTCCACATGGCCTGAGCAGAGGGAAGCGAGCCAATCTCGACAGTGAGACCAGAGCCAACACAGCGAGTGAGATAATCCATAACACGAAATTCCTGCAATTGCCACTCTGAACTCTCCTTGACATAGAGAGCACGAGCAGTCTGAAGATCGACATCACCACTGCCAGAGGCAATAGTACTGGATGAAGCAACAGTGCTGATGGACGGTGGAACTGGTCCCGTACTGGTGAGATGATCAAGCAAACCAGCGCCACGCAAGGCATTGGTGACAATGGTGGACCACCCTGCCCAGTCACTTTGATCATTGAGGGGCAAATGTGGTTTGGGAATCTTCTCTGAAGGAGCCATAACAGCAATCTTGAGACGTTAAGATGTCGAGATGCTGTTACTAATGTCGTTCGTTTGAGGCCGAGAGACGGCTTGAAACGACGATGCCGTTAATTTGAGACCGAGAGACAGTCTTGAAACGGTAATGCCGTTAAAATAGAACCCGAAGGTTAGAATGAAACCCGAAGGTTTAAAATAGAACCCGAAGGTTAGAATGAAACCCGAAGGTTTAAAATAGAACCCGAAGGTTAGAATGAAACCCGAAGGTTTAAAATAGAACCCGAAGGTTAAACGAGAACGCGAAACGCGTTAAGAGGCCGCAAAACGACAAGGCCAAAATATCTGGCAGATGAACGCCAAATAATTAAAAATAAAAATAAAAAAAAATAAAACATTAAACGGCTGCAAAGCAATAAGGCCAAGATTTGGCAAAAGAACGCAAAAGCGTTAAAAATTTTATTGAAAGGGAAATAGCCCTAGCTCTGATACCATGTTAAAGTAAGAGAGAGAGAGAGAATCTTGGGTAAATTTCCCTTGAATTGAATATTGAGTGTGCACATATATTTATACAAGTAGAGGAGTGTGAGGTTTGTTCTCCCAAGCAATGTGGGACTAAAACCCACTACAATACACTATTATCAACAGTTTCGACAATGATCAAACTTATTGCTAGCTCGGAACCACCTTAGTGAGCATATCCGCTGGATTATCCTTCGTGTGGACCTTCACAATCTCCACATTGCCATCTTCAAGAACATCTCGAACGAAGTGATAACGAACATCAATGTGCTTCGTCCTCGCATGAAAGACCTGATTCTTCGCCAAATAAATAGCACTTATGCTATCACAATGAATAGTGACGGTTCGCTGTGAAACACCAAGTTCCTTCAAAAGTCCCCGAAGCCAAATAGCCTCGTTCACAACCTCGGTAATCGCCATATACTCTGCCTCTGTCGTCGTCGACAAAGCCACTGTAGACTGTAAGGTGCATCTCCAACACACCGGCGCACGGGTCAAAGTGAATACATACCCCGTCGTAGATCAGCGCTTATCCAAATCTCCAGCATAATCCGAATCAACGTAGCTAATGCACAACTGCCCACCTCTAGTGTCCCGCTAAAAAACTAAACCGATATTTAAAGTACCTCGAATGTACCTCAAAATCCATCTCACGGCGTTCCAATAACCTATTCCCTAGATCGTGCATGTATCTCGAAACCATGCTAACCGCCTGTGACAAATCCGACATGGGACTATCTTGTTTTTACAAACAAACACTAGCATGTTGGAAGTTTTTCAGCACAACTAAAGCCGGAAGTGATACGGAAACAGGCTCAAGAAGAGCTATATCGGTTTGAGGGCCGAGTGACAAAATGAACAAGGCAGAAGCCAATTCCAATATTTCAACAACACGTTTAGATTTACTTTCAATTATATAAATAAATAACACCACCGATTTTTTTTCAAACTTCTTAATTTCAAGTGGAAGTACACCTCTATGCCGCTGTCACTTTTCAATATATATATATATATATATATACAGCGTGCCCACAGCGACAACGTTGAAGATACGTTGGCATCAAATTCTCAGTATATATATATATAGGGGATTTTCCGATGTAGGATTCGCGGTGAGAAATTCCTCAACGGGAAAAAAAAACGTAAAAAGATCGTACGTACGTAGTCCATCACAAGATATATAGACGAACCCATCATAAAATACTTAAATTTTATTTTAAACAAAATTAAAGAAATAGATACAGTTTTAATGGTTGAGCCTTAGGCGTCAGCGGACTCACTACAAAAAGTCTAGAGACCACTGCGGCTTATCATTTCTAATACCAATTTTGGAATCTTAATTTGTTCCGCGTGGCAACATACCCATGGACTCCCTAAGAAATCGTATTAATGATAAAAAATTGAAGTGTTGGAGCATTTTTATTTATCTCTAATCAGGGAAAACCCAAAAAAATCGGATTAAATAAGACAGGACCAAGAAATTGCAGCGAAGTACAGTATGCTTGAATGGCTCTAGGGTCACATCAGATGATCTCAGATCTCAACAGTATTGGATACAACACAAATATACCTACCATAGCAATTATATGCTTTACCAAACTGAAGGTATAAAGCAAAAAAAAAGGGTAGTCGCTGGTCTGCGGAGACCGAGTGAACGTTGTGATATCCCATGAAATAAAGGGCACGTGTCGCAACAGGTCAAAGCCACTGCAACATGTTCGGCGACCGGCTCATTTGAGGTTATAAGCCTATAAAAAAAACAGGCTCCCCTAGCTGACCCGGCTTATTTTTTAATGGCCTATAAGCAATGTAGTTTGACCAAGTAATTAAATGTCAAAAAATTTATCCCCCCTCAACATTTAAGATAATTCCAAAGTTCGTTCGATGTTTAAATTTAGAGTTATATCCTTTTTGGTCATTTGAACAACAGTCATGTATTATAATCCACCCATTTGCCAAACGCCCCATTGTTGAAAGCAGCTTATATAGTTCATATTTTTACCAAACACCTTGGCTTGTAACCCCACCTCACCTATCATAACCCATTTGCGAATTATAAGCCAAGTTCCCAAACATACCCAAAAATGACGAGACTTCATGAATTATAAGGTCGATCAACTAAAAAACATGTGGAAAAAGAATGCGGACAAGTGGATATACAACAAGAGATAACACAATAAATAATTACATTTGCAGCGAATTAGAGGTTGCTCCTACTGAGGATAGAAGAGAGAATCATGAACCATGATTTGATCATACGCAATGGAGGGGAGGGGGATCTGACGCTGGCGGTCGCCATTTGGAGAGGGGGTTTTTGATTTGGTCGCGGGAGAGAATTGGAGCTTCCGGGGCTTTTAAATGTCGAGCGGGTTTTTATAGTGGGGGGTTTGAAATGGAATTGTTTATTTATTTTTGAGGTGGTTTTTGCTAATTTATTTGAGATATTGGGAAGGGGGGCGTTTAGGTATTATTAGGGTGTTAAGTTTGAAAAAAAAAATGAGAAGTTACTTTTGGACCCAAAAACAACTGGACCTAAAGTATGGAACAAATGATGTGTTCCTTTCTTAGCTATTAACCCATCTTTGTTAGCCATTGATCTTGAACACAATTTTGAGAAAATGATACGCGTCAACTTGTTTTAGATGCGATCCTATGAATTTTGAATAAAAAAGGATACGGAAAAAAAAAAGTTATACATAAGAAACAAAATTATTGTTCAGATGCAATTCCAAAATCAAGTGTAAATTTATGTGGATTTATTTATGCTACATCTCTTTTATTAGCATCTCATAATATCACATTCAACTTTCAGATATAATTTGCGTCTAATTCCAAAGCATAAAAAAGTTTGGTACTATATATTCTTCAGAAAATATGAAGTTCCCTTCTGTTGCGCGGTTCTAATTTGATGTGTAGTCTCTCGTGATATCACATTCTCAATCAACTTTAAGAAATTTTTTTATACGGAGAAAAAGTTTTAGTTTCTTTTCTTTTCTTCAAAAAAAAATGTGGAGTTAGAAAAAAGACAAGCTCGTGAAATACGTAAAACTTCTTGGTTAATTAATGATCAAAATGAAGAAGATAAGGGAGATCGATGCGAGTGAAATAGAGTGAAATCATGAAGGTTACCGATCAAAATGGATAAGATAAGGAGATGTAAGTGAAGAGTGAAATCATGAATATAAGGGCGCGTTTGGTTCGGGGGGAGGGGATTTTGGGAGAAAGTTGCCAAAGTTCTGATACTAATATTTCTCCGACACAGTTACAGGTAGGTAGCAAGAGAGAAGCAAAATATTTCTCGGGGAGGCGATTTTAGGTGAAAGTTGCCAAAGTTCTGACACTAATATTTCTCCGACACAGTTACAGGTATGTAGCAAGAGAGAAGCAAAACATTTCTCCGACACAAATATTGCACAAAGAATGGTTGAATCTATTAAATTTTAACCTGCAATTATCTCCGTACAGATTTCCCAAAAAAGGGAGCCCTCACAAAGTAGTATCTACGCTTAAAACACTAAATCAATGAATTAAAACTCTCCCCCCTCTCGGTAAATAAATATCCCCACTCATCATCTCATCTGTGTCATGATATGTCGCAGCGATCCAATTGGATCATGACTGCTCCCAGAATGAGAATTTGAGAGACGATGAAATCATAAATAAATTGAATATACACTACACTGTAAGAAACTCTCTCTTTTTTTCTCCCTCGTCTCGGAAGAGATCGCTCCACAAAGCTCCATCTCCTTCGCCGCATCTTTCATGCACATCCTTCATCCTCTCCACCGATTTGCAAATTCCGCTGCAGCTCCAGTCAAACGAAGCTATGCACACGTTCCCTGCCTGAGCTTTCCACTCGCAGTCTAGAGGGGAGAAAGAAGAAGAACAGAGATGGCACGAGATTACGAACAAATACATACGTGAAGTTGAACGATACACATGAAACCAACAAAATTAATAGACCATGTAGTACTGTTTGGAACTATCCTTGTAGTTTCATTGTCGCATACTGGACCCCAAGTTAAAACTCTTTTACCCTCATATAGACTCAATTTGACCCAGGGGCAATATCTGCCAATTTTTTACCAAGGGTAAAAGACCAAACAAATTAACCTGGGGGTCTATCTGCAAAAATGAAACTACATGGGTACTAACTAAGCTTGACATAGGGATACTACAGGGGGTCAATGTGCAATTAACCCAAAAAAAGGTAAACATACCTGGTGGAGTTCCACAACACATATTGCGCTCATCGATATGTTCCACTTCAAGTCCAATAAACCAAGCACCAAGGGATACATCTTCATTAGCATACTTGTGCAATATTGGCCTAGAAAGAAAATTGATGGTCTCAGGGTTAGACTCAAATTATGTTACATTATGTGAATAATAGAACCATTAAATTATTATATCTTACTGGTTTATTGAAATATATGTAGCCAGATCTTTTGATAGAGCATAGATCTGTCCAGTTGCATGACGGAAGTACTTGTTTCCCTCTTCTCCAAATTTCCAGTATTCAGGTTCATGGTACTTCACATTCCTACGAAGCACACAAATAGCTTAAATCAAACGGAACGGGAATAAAACTTCAAGGCAAATAGGTTCGAGGAGAGGGCAAGAAGGTAATTTACTTGTTAGAAAGAACTGGACCAGATTTCATACAACCAATATAGACTCTGGGCTTTGATCTGTGACGAGCAAGAGTTGCAGCTAGCATACCTGTTATGATAATGTTGAAGATACAAGCAAAGATCCTATTAACTTTTGCCCGTGAAAACAAAAAAATGCTCTATGCGAGAAAACCAAAACACATGTATAGCTTATTGAACACTTAATTAATACTACTATTTTTGACACGGGACACAAAGCAAATTATTAGTTATACAAAGAAAACCAAGATTGCTAGTCCTAATTAGGAAACTAAGGGAACAAATTTTTAGGCTTTAAATAAACTTAAAACTTTGGAAAGTGTAAATAACATCCACATTCACATGTCACTTTCTTCACATTACGACAAGACTTAGGGTATGTTAATAACATCATAGCCTTCCGTGAATTGGAAAGTATAATCTCTTTTAGGACCAAAAAATGATCCAAAAACTTACCTAAATTTACATGAACATCATCATCCACCTTGACGTAAAATTCAGCATCCCACTTGGCAACTGCGGTAGAAAAGAATATCTTTGTTTTGGCAGATAGTTCATGATAGCCTTCAACATGTTCCTGAAAATCATAAAGTTGCGTCAGAGAGATATTAGATGTTTTAATAAAAGTCTAAGAGTAGAAACTGATAACAAAATGGAGAAATTAAATTGCTTACCAGCCTAAGGAAGTCCTTGTGCTGAGATTCCTCCGCGTCAATTGCTCTATCTAGAATGCTGTTCGAAGTAGCACTGGGGAAGAAAACAGTGAGGGAAAAAAATCATTTTAGTATTATGCTTTTTTTGCCGATTATATTTAGTTAGTAACTTCGAAAGATTTCTCTCCAAAATATTTACAGACAATTCTTTTGCCATTGAACAATTCGATAGACAAAAGGGAGAAAGCATATATCACAAGAAAAACTAAAGTGTGCAACCAAGTGAGCTGAGACTCAGACATTCACTGGTTAAAATTTTCTTATCCTCAGTGGCAAGGAAAATTTTGACTTATTTATGACAAACTTATCAATACTTACACCATGACTAAAGCAAAACATGATGAGCTAAAAACTTATTGAGACTGTTCAAAATTTCTTATCCTCACTGGCAAGGAAAATTTCTACTTAATATGACAAACTTATTACGACTTACACAATGACTAAAGCAAGACATGATGAGCTATGAACTGTGAGAATCTATATCTGCTGTCTGAAAGCTAGAAAACACAAAGTAGAGATGCTCCAAAAGAACGTAATTAGAGTTGCTTCAAATGGATCACACGGCATTAGTTATTTATTGAAGTTCCAAGTTCAATGGTTCTATTAAAAACCTTTCCTTCTTTTTAAAGCTTGACTTTTTAAAATTAAGCAGAATGTTGGCTGGCAGCTTAAGAGCTTTGGAAGAAGTTGGATACAATTTATTAAAGACACAATGCACCATGTGCCGTGATCCTTATTCTCATGCACATGACTAAGTTTTTCATTTAGCTGTCATATTCAGTATCTCAAAGACAAAAAAATCCAATAATATCTGCTCAAACTGTGAATTGTTAGTATGGAATCTAAGTACTGTTTAAACCTAATAATTAGCTGTGAAGGAATTTCTTGAACAGAGTATATTTCTCATTTTAACGACAGCAGATATAGGGTATTTATAGATATACATTCTTTTAACAAAGAGGTACCTGTGACCAATCATGAATCGGATAACAATCCCCTTCTCCTCCTCTAGTTTTTGGAGCTTCTCACCTAATCAGACAAAAAAGAGGTTAGGACATAAAACCATAATTTATGCAAGAAACAGGAGACAATAGATAGGAAAAGTTCTACTGACTAGATAAAAAGAGCGGTCAAAGTGAAATCATTTATATATCTTAAACTGAAGCCTCTGCATATGGAATGTCTAGGTTTAACCTGAGCTATTGTTACACCAAATTTCAGGATAAAGGTAGATGTATCTAACTACAGCCAAAGTAAGAACTACACATCATTAGTTGTCCAACCTCAAAGTGTGATAAAATACAAAAGCTAACACATGCACAAAATTCCCCTTTCTTCTTTACACTTTCAGTTAGAGAAACTAATCACAAGCACACTCTTGACCAATAAACTACAAAGAAAACGTACTAAAATGCTAAAAGCTAAAAAACCATGATGTAATTCATCAAACCCCTTCAAGCATTTTCACAGCCAACATTCTAATTTCTATAGAAATACCAGTTGTGAAGATATAGTTAGAACTAAAACCTTGAGGCATCCAGGTCGCTCTAACTGAGTCTCGTCTTTTCCTGCTACTGAATGCAGTATTTATTCCAATAACAACAAAAGCCTTCTTTCTATCTTTTCCGGGTATCGGAGGGGAGCCATCCAAGCCTGTCAGCTCTTGAGAACTTCTTGCAGCTGCAATTTCCATTTGAAGTGTAGATATCGTCTTGTCCAAAGTCCTGAAGGTAATGAAATTAACAAAATGAAGCTAGAAATCCAAAGATATTGTATGGTTTCATAAGGTTCTTTACATACTGTATGGCTTCATGAGTCTTGGTCACCTCATCCATTACATTTGAATCTTTCTCTTGACCATGTTTCTGATAACCAATATGAAATGAGCGTTAGAGAGAAGAATATGGTGTAGATAAATAGAATTAAGCAAACGAACGCAGAACTTATTCCCAATCAACCTTTTTGGTTGTGCAATCCTCTGAGATGAGCTTAAGCTCTTGGTCTTGTCGCCGCCTAGAAATTATTTGTGCACTAGATTCAGAAGCTGTCCAGAATCTACCAATCAAAACAACCCAAAAAGTATACATAAGATACCAAAAAAGTGAATTATGCAAAGGGTATTAATATGTAATACTATGGATACAAATTAAGTATATATAGTCCATTGACAAACCCAGAAACTAACATTTTTCTCACGTGCAAGTGAATTATGCAATGCTGATGTTAATGTCAGTTTCGAGCTAGGGATAATATAGCTATCAGGGAAAGCAATCTTCTGATATTGCCAAAATTAGATCTTCTGACGGATTATGCTAAGAGAGGACATAAATAATTCCCAAAAAGAAACCCCAAAATTCCATCTTTCCCTGAACCAGACCTCAATTTCCTTCAAATACGACTAATTGCAAGATAAAAGCCACACCCATTCAGCAAAATTGGATTTTTGGGCGAACCCAGATCTCAAATTTTCAATTGATCATAAAAACACCTACCTATTTGTAAACAGCGACCCAAGGCCGAAGCTTGAGACGCAGAGCAACAGTATCCATTTCGCCGAGATTCGTCTATCACTGCTGCCGCTTCGACCCCTAATCATCTCTGTCTCTCTCTCTCTCTATAGAGCTGTTAGGCTTTTGTAGATGAGAGAGAAAATGGCAGCAATCAGCAGACAACGAGCTGAAAGGGGCGACGACGACGTCAAATAACGGCCTCTACGTTACGCCGGCGGAACAGCGTACCGTTTTGGTGGGGAATGTTCTCTGCTCTCTTCCTCTCTCTCTCTCTAATCGGGAGATTTTAAGCGAGAGAGTTTGCCGTCGATGATTTATATAAAGACTCTTCTGATGAGAGAGACCGAGCGTTTTTTTTTTCCGGACTGTTTTATCTGACTCAAATCTGACCATTAAGATGTTTTCATGGTAATTATCACTTTCTACTAATTACATGGTAAAAAAATTTATTTTAACTTAATTTATTATTATTCATAATGCTATCATAAAGCGAAAACATGAATCATTTTTTAGCCCCAAAAAAGATTATGCAAAGCTTCATGATTAAGGATAAAAATAGACGTCGCACGTATAAACATCCTGGAATGAGACTCTAATACATGTTTTCTTCTTTGTAATGTAACTCCCGACGAGATATGAGATGGATTTTAATAGTTTTATAGTTCATCATTCGTATTAAATGCACAGTTTCATTCTAACATTTGATTCAAGTTAAATATCAATATTTATTGGTACTGAATTAAATTGTCAACGTAATGGAATTTATTGAAAGATGTTAGGAAGACTTCATTTCCTATGCTTATGTAAGATAGTTTATTTATTATTTACTCTTAATGATGGGTTTGTAAAATTGTTATTTTCCAGTTTTTGAAGTATTAGTAGTGTATGGTAAACAAATTATATAAACCCAATTCATAGCAAGTTCACAATCACATATATTTAATGATATGTTCTCTCATATGCATGCATAAGATTAACGACTAGTATACAAAAAGGGTTTATCTACCACTCTCTCATTATAATAGGATGTTTAGAGCTTTAAATCTCTTCGTATCATCAATTAACCAATAATATATATTGACAACGATGATATCGTAGATAACAAGTAATTTTTCTAATATGTATCCATAGGCACTTATCTATTCCTCTATACAGATGGGAGAACCCAAAATTTACTATTCATGCTACAGCAACATTATTACTGTAACAAATATGAAACTGGACATTTTTTGTTTTTTGAAAAAGTATTACTTTAGCACACAGGAACACTGTAGTAGAGATGGGATACTATAGCAACCAAAAAAATCAAAAAATAAATTTATTATAACAGTTAAAACTGAAATTACTGTAGCGTGAAAAATTATGCTGCACACTAGTATTAGAGAATGAGAGGAACAGAGGGAAACTAATAACAACTGAGCTCCTCCTGACAATAAGTAACTGCCCTCATTTTCCGCATCATTTTATATATTAAATAACATGTGTAATTTTTTTTCCCCTAGTGGGTCACATGATAACAGTCACGTTTGTGAGTCTAAAGTTCGAATGATTACATTAGATTTCATGTATTTTATAAAGTAGGATGTTTTAGAAATTGGGAGGACGTTGGTTGGTGAGGAGTTAAAAAGAGTTTTGGAAGAGAGCAAAATAGTCTTGTCATGCTTGGTTGTAGTACAGCGTTGCTTTGGGCGCCGCGTGATTAGCTGCTCCAAGTCAGGCTTTTGTCAGGCTTTCAGCCTTGTTATTATGCAACCAAACGGGGCCTAAAAAGTAGAATCGTTGAAAATTACTGGTATATGGTCCTTATAAATTAGCTAATTCATCCTTTTTTTAATTTAAAAAAAATTGGGTTCTAGAAGGAAGAATTGGACAAGTTTACCGGTTGATCGTTTTCAAATTCTAAAGTATTACTCTATGTCTATCAAAAAAAATTAAGCACTCATAAAAAAGAGAAATTTTTGGAAACTTCTGGGGGGTTTCTTTTATACGGAACTTTCCTATTTGTTTCGTAGTGAAAGGGAAAGGAGACGAATTGTTGTGACTTTGTGAGAGTAATGTTGATTGTTTTCGAAGAAATAAGACAGCTAGCGATTTAACAACACAAATAAAATGACAAATTGCTCGGAAATCCCAACGCAACTGTGGGTTCTTTGATTACCTGTTGGAATAAGTAGTTGTTTGCCCATTAACTTATTAATAATTAATAAATGATGCTTACGAAGTTTCCTTGTCTGTATGAGATCAATTGAAGCACACGCCAAGGACTAAGATTCCCACCTAAGATTTTGTGCAGACTTTACTTGCGATGATCATGGGCAAAAAGTTACTTTTATCTTGCTTTTGCCTAAAGTAAATTTCTTGTACGGAAAGGCGAAGGCTTTTATGAAACATATTTATTCACCGTATGCGGTCATTCTGCTTCGGCTTAGATTCTGAAAGATGATGCTGAACTGAGAGAGCATGAACCTGGAATCTATCTTTTATCTTCGAATAAAACTTTCATCATTATTTCTTTAGGAGAAAACACAGCAGGATTTGTTTGTAGCTGGTAATTTTTGTACTTGATGCTTATTATTTGTTCTATTATGTGCAAATAATAAGCAAATCCCTTTCCTACAAGCGTTCATATGATGCTACCCTGTGAATGAACAGCAAAAACAAATCAATTATGAGGCAGATGGTATACAACTTCATCTGAGTTGTTCATGACTTCTAAATTGTCTTTAATACAGCATAAAAAAGTCTCACTTGCATCACCTACACTTCCAGTCAAATATAAAACTTGAACTAAGATTTCAAAATCCTCTTCCATTTTCCTACCGTAAACCAAAACAAACAGAAGCAAATTCCTCTTACCTCCTCCCGTCCCAAATTTACACCCAATGAAACCAAAACAAAAAAGAGTACACCAAATTGATAAGGTAGTGACTAAGCCATACTAGAAAAATATCTTCAAGCCCGCCCTCATCAAACAATACATCCAATTATACTCTGCAAGAAGAAATAAAACACATCGTCAGAAACACATGTAAAGAGAGAAAAAGCTTCCATAAAGTATATTCTCGCGACTCAAAACACATGTAAAGAGAGAAAAAGCTTCCAAAAAGTATATTCTCGCGACTCACCATCGTATTTCAAAGCCTTGGAACCTCGACAAAAATAACAGAAGTACCTCTGCATTCCACAATCACAAATATAGCAGCCTTTAAACCTCGACAAAAATAACAGAAGTACCTCTGCATTCCACAGTCAGAAATGTAGCGGCAAATAATATACAACGTTTTGCTATGAGTAGACTCTATTCTCCGAATGAGGAAGAGAGAGACTAGAAATATATAGAAAATCATAATAATAATAAAAAAGCGACCAAATAGTTATATAAGACAGAAAGGTAAACATCCAAGGCTCCTTAAGGCTCAGCACCACACATCTGAGAAAATACAGAAACTGTAGGATTCAGGTTAATTACTAAGTATTCACAGAAGGCATGGTAAGAATGTACAAGTAACTAAGAGAAACCTATATCTTTTTGTATAATGTTACAAGATCCAAATTTACCTTTTCAACCCTCAGCAGGGCTGCCGAGAAGATTCAGAACCAAACATGCCCTCCATCACATATCAATTAAATCTAACTCACCCTCTGTACAATTGCTCTCACATATATATAAAGATGATACCAAAACTTTGCGAACAACGATTGAATTATCAGCATCAAAGATTACATTGCCAAACCCAATTCAATCCCCTTATCCCTTTGCTCATCTTCCTTGGTGAACTATTTACAGGTGAGCACTTGTCTTTATAACTTACGAAAGAGGGACAACAACCTCGATCTCCATGGCTCCATCCACCACTAAGAAAAAATACACCAACATGTACATTTTCCTCGACTCTACCCACCAGGCTCTTCAGGTTCATGAGACTCTGGATCATCAACTACTGGTTTCTCTTTAGACAGACAACCAACTGGAACATAGACAAAACCTTTAGGAAGTCGTTGGTTCTGCATTGATGCTTGGAGTGAGGTCATCACTATCTCTTTGTGAAAAGTTTCTGCTTGCTGCACAAGCAGCAAAGAAAAATAATAATGAATAAATAAAATATAAATAAAGAATAAGCTGAGCTATCATCGCGAATGACTTGGCAAATGGATAAATTTGCTAAACTAAATACTTCTATTCTTCTACACAGAAGAATTACCCTTCACAAATTATTATTAATTAATACTGAATTAAATAAGGAGAAAAGCAATAACAAAGAACTCCAGTATATATTTCATTCTTTGTTACTCCTTTATTCCTTATATCTTTGATTCTTCGATAGCAACAAGCATATGATCAATTATTGATCCAAATCTAAGTGATAAAACTTTTGAAATAATCCTGAAATCTAAATATATTTTGATAGCTTCATGACTGATTTGATATGCAAAGAATAACCAGAGAAAAACATTTGGCTACAAGAAATATGCTCAAGCTCCCAGCTGTCATTGTAAGCATGTAAATCCTAGATGTCACTGAAACAATGTTATGATGTGTGGTGCTATTTCTGTCTACATTATAATGCTTTGTAAATAAAACAAGAAAATCATGCTACCTTCTTTGCCTTGAATCTCTTTTCTCCATCATCTGTTGAGTTCCGAAAAGAAACTGATTGTGTTCTATGTGGAAGTTGCTTGCCAGAATATGATGTCCTATCAGGGGCCTTCCGCTTAAATGATGGCCGAGATGTGGAGCTCTCATCAGTCTTCCTGTCCACATCCAATGAACGCTTAATGCGTTTTCCAGAAATTGTACTGTCAACAGTAACATCCTCAGACCTTTGGATTATTCCACTGTATGATCTGTTGTCAATGGAAGTGGTCGCTGACTCTGAGCTGATTCCAGGGGGACACAAGGAGCTCCTCATCAGTGCAGAATAAGCAACATAATCCCTTCTTGAAGCGAGTATGTCATGGGAACAGAGAACCAACTCTCTCTGGTTAAAAAAAACAAGTCAGAACACATGTATTCATACTTTAAACCAGATTCACAAATATCTGTGTAGGTGATTACAGGAGCTGTTCATCTTTTTAATGCCCTTAGACTGAAACTTACAGTGGAAATCAAGAACACTGCCACAAGTTCATGTAGAAAGAGTAGCTCATTTATTTTGATAGGGAGAGATTAACCCCATCAATTTGATACATTTGACAGTAAAGGGAATATAGTTTGTCAGGGAGGTTCGATGCCTAAGGTAAGGATACTTAGGAAGATTGTTGAAGTTTAAAAACCACCAGAAAATCTAATGCCAGCAGCTTCATTCTGGCTAACTAACGGGGGAATCTATTGCTTGAAACGGAGTTACATGATTATCCAGAGATAATAATAAACAAAACATTTCGCTTTCTACAAAAAGGTTCTAGAATAAACAAATGTGTTAAGGAAAATATTTTGTAGATACAAATCTTACAAAAATGAAATGGATTGCATGTAACAAATTCACCCATAAATTTTGACTACTCAAACTACTTGAACAAACCTACCTTTATTTTTTCCCTTTTGACGATTCGCTCACAAAGTATACGCACTTTCTCTAGTTCAAACTGCAAAAAATAATAATAATGTAAGACAGGCAACTCCAGCATTTCTGTTACTCAAAACAAATATGAGGTTCTCAAACAAGAAGGAAATTGAGAACTGTCTCCCGTAAATTTTGCTAACAAGAATGAAATTGATTATTCTCTTTCATTATATGAGTATTTTGCAATATATTTACACATACCCGAATTTGTTTAATACCCTTCAGCTCCTCAGCTCCATGTTGAGTATCAGCCTGTGGATTTTCAAGGAAAGAATAAGCCCAAATGAACAGTATACATTATATGAATTTTATGAACCCCAAATAAAATAACACTTCATTCAACAATATGAGAATATCTCCATGACAAATAGAAACTCATGTTTATTCGAATGAAGAATATCCTTTGTAGTCTGGTAGAGTTTAGACAAAAGATGAAAGAGAAATGTGAGATCAAAGAATATTTGACCTTCTGTCTCTGTTCGACACTATGCTTTTCACAATAGGCCTTGTGGTGAAGCCTGCCACCAACAGCCTTCACATTCATGTAGAAGCCAGCAGCTCTAGCACAAGAAGGGTGGAAAGTGACTTGACAGTGTCCATAGCTGCACTGAAAGAAAAGAAAAAAAAAATCAGTGAGTACAGAACAAAAGATGTTCAGTCAATTTGCACTTGCTTCATGTTGTCACAAGGAGAGGCATAATACGACAGTCAACAGATCAAACCTTCGAGCAAATTCCAAATTTCTGCTGGCAGATAGAGCAGGTAAGCACGTCTGTTGCTTTGGAAATGACATCCTGAACCACAAGTTAAACGATGAGTCAATCGTAAGCAGAATATACTACAACAAATAGATAATCTAAAACATAAGTCAATGAGCGAATACAGTACCATTCCATCTACAAGATTTTGCTGTCCCCTCCTGAAAGTTGATTCCAACATCCACTGGAAATAGAAGAGCTGTATTAACTCCATGCAGACAAAAAACAACAAACATTTCAAAGAAAAGGATGGATGTATTTTGGTACCTCAGCACAGAAGGCATGAACCCATTGCCCATTTGTTGCCTTACGGAAAGCACCATAACCACCACCGCACAAACCACACTCAATTACCAAACACGACCTATCTCTATTTTCAACTGTTTGATTTCTGGGGCTTCCAGAGTGCAGCATCTCTTCACACAACTCACATTTCCAGGGGCCAACTGGATCTTTAAACTTACGATAACAGTCCAAGTGAACTGCAACCTGCCAACAAGTTCTGTCAATAATAGTTTCAGATGAGAAATAACAAAAAGACATGCAGGAACACATTCACAAACCTTGCAGCTGGAACACACAAAGATCCGGTTCAACAACGTTTCAGGTCGTCTACAGATGTCACAAGACAGTGCATTGTCTTTTGGAAATTCTGGAGATTGGAGACCGCCAGAATGTTTATCTGGTGAAACTTTAATGATAGCAGACCTTGTGGCCTCCTTCAATCGTGAACGCGGAAGAGGCTGTCCAGATCTCCCAGGAAGACCACTAACATTCTGAGGGCTCTGCATATAATACAAAGAATAAATATATAGACATTATCAGCTCATGCGAAAAGAGGTAACATGTGTTGGCAAACATCAAAGCAAACAACTGAAACAAACCACATGCACGCACACATATCCAAGTTTCCAACCACAAACTGCCGCCCCCCCCACCACCAAAAAAAAAACCAAAAAAAGCACCCAATACACACACACAAAAACCAACCCAAACACCCTGCCCACTCACCCACCCAAAAAGAATAAGTGCGTCACTTTTTATTCAATTTCATCCCAGACAAAGGTCCCATCATCATTTCTTCAAGTTCATTGCATTATGTGTGTGTGTGTGTGTGTGTGTGTGTAGAGAGAGGGAGTATAAAACCTGAGGAAGAAAGCCTATCTCATCACTTCCATCTTTTCTTGGTAGAGGATTCCTAGAAGAAGAAGCAGCAACAGCTGCAGCTGCAGCAAGAACGGCCTGAGCTTCTTGGTGCCTTCGCTCTTTCCTTCCACGTTTCTTCAATTCCTTAACATCACGGAGGAACTGATTGACAAGTACCATGTCCCACCGATGTTTCTTCAATACCTCTAGCTCATGTGGAAGTTGTTGTACTACCCTTCCTAATAGATCATCTGCATAACAATATCAGAATAACCACTCAATATTGAAGGAAGGTCTATTACTGGAAAACTAATGAACATATAAACTTAAACAAAGGTCTTGAAACAAGGTTGCATTTTCTCACCAAAACCATGCTTGATTGCAGAAGCACTATCGAGTAGCTTGTTCTGCAAGTATAGCATTTCCCCTTCAACTTCATCTTCTGGAGATAATTCCAACATCCCAATTTTATTTACTTGAGCCAAATGATCGAACTGTCCATGATCCGGTACATGGTCCACATGTTTGCAAACAGGAGACAAGAGGTCCTGATTACATGAATCGCTTGCATTGGAAGATAAAATTCTGTCCTTAACCTGACCTGCAGATCAAAGACCAATGTAACAGAGACATATCCTATATAAAGATCAGAACCATGCAGAGCTTCAGTATAATATTACCATTTAATTTATACTCTCTCCTTTCAAGCTCAGGAAGCACACTCTTCTGTACTTCCATCAACCTTTCCTGGATGTATGGGTGAATATAACTAGAGCAGGATCCATCAATTCTGCATCAAAGAATATTGCAAGTGCTAAGGAATGCAATTAGGCTATCATGAATACCGCAATCTACAGAAGACAGGTGATTGCAAAAACATTATACTGTTCATAAAGGCAACTGTCTCGAAAGACTCGAGATTGGTAGTAAGAAACATTACATCAGCACTACATCAGCACTGAATGCTGGTAAACCCACCTAATTTTCTTTACAGCACCATCTTGAGGGACATCAATCTCATTGGCTTGATCTTCATCCAGTTTCTCAGATAACACACTTTCGGTTGCACACTCAGGCTTATGTTGTGTCTCAGACAACTCATTCTTTTCCACTGTTGCCAAATTTCCTGTCAAAAACATGTTAAAAATATGAATTATTTGAATCAAATAAAAACAACACGTGAAATTTAAATGGTTGACTTCTTCCGAAGGACTCAGAAAACCCAGCTGGTCCCAAAGGAAAAAAAATCCATGGGTTTTTTTAAATCCTCAGTCAGTTTTAATAGCCGACTAGAATGTATAATTGTTCTACAGGCAACCACTCAGTGAAAGAAAAATATCTGATTCAGAAGAGGTTTTTCCCAAAAAAAATTCTTGGTAAGAAATTGGCTCATTCTTGTTTACTTTTTGGTGTTGGACGAAATGCTACTACCGCCAAATAACCATTACCAGAAGCTCGGCCACTCCACAGGAAGAACTTGTGACAAGTCTTTTAAATTTGGTGAATCCAAACAAAGGGCAAGAGTAATAGTTGCATAATATCTGAGACCTGAGTTACTAATTCAGCATACTTATCTGCGGCAATACTCTTCAATGCTTTGTCAGAATATCTAATGGCTTGAATACCTGCTTATGATCATGTGACACTACATGTAAATGCCTTTTCCATGTCATGGGAGTATTTGAGTTCTTAAATCATCACATATGATAATATCATAATACACGACCCCTAACTATATCATGGTATGTACATGTGTCAATGGAGAAGAATTTGAAGCTCTGTAATCCAGTGAACCAACAAATCAGACCGCAAACTATCAAAAAAGCGCCGATAGCTTACATGACAATGGTATTCACATTATTCACCACAGAGTTCAAAGATAATTATAACATCAGAAAATGGGATTGTTAAAATATTCACTCAGATTTATTCACAAGCTTTCTGTCCATTGATGTTCCTTTAGTCTTTTCCCAATATAATTATCAAGTCAACTCTGGAACTCAAATCTCAGATCTCATCCCATAGTATTTGTCGACAGTTATCAATGATATCCGATGGTTTTGGTTGGGATATAATATGCATAATTAAAACCCAATGAAATAAACGGATGTGTCCGTATCAGCTAATACTGTGAGGCTTGCAGCAAGGTAAGGGACTTATTGATTGATAAATGCCATGTATCTTCTGATAAGAAGATATGAAACATAACCACGTATTTTATCCTCATGCTCTTCTGTAGGTCATAAGACATAAAGGTCAATCAAAAGAAGAAAAATAATAGTCTAAACTAGAGGGGTACATAAAGAACATACTGGATCATGATGTAGAATCACATAGAACCAGCAGATCATGTGAAAGCATGTGGTGATGTGAATGTACGTATAACAGCTAAGCAAACAGATTTCGTAAGGCATACCTTCTACTTCAGGAGGTAGAACCAAAGGGCCTGAACTTGGCAATGAACAAGCATCTTCAATCAACTGATAAAATCAAATTGAATAATTAAATAAATCTCCATCCACATCCTAAAAGAAATAATTCAATATTCAATGCCAAAAATAGTCAAGTGTAGTAACATGAAAGTAACTAATAAAAAAATTGAAATTAAGTATCCAGATATGATTCAGTAGAGACTAAAGGACAACCCAATTATCATCATATGGTATTACTAATCAAATCCATATATCATAACAGATCATAATCCTTTAAAAGATGTAACACAAGACTGAACCAAGAAAATAATATATCCCAAAAAAAGTAGAATTTTTTTCTTCAAATTACACTCTTGCGAGATGATTCGAGCTTGTGAGAAAACCGAAATGAAATGTCAGAAAGATGATTTCCATGCCAAATACAAAACAATAGTTGACCTGCAGTTGACAGAAGACAAATAAGAAAGGCATAAGCCTTCTGGAAAGAATCTTTATGACGAGAAAAAAGAATAGGGGAGTCTAGAAGCACAATGTGGTTGTGGATGTTCCATGAGAGATATTGGAACAAATGGAAAAGCAACATCACAATCATTAGCATCATCCAAAAGTTAATGTCCCAGAAAAAGGACTTGGTGGCAGTTACGGAAACATTCAGGAAAAGAAATCATCAAAGGATTAACTAGATTATCAGGATTGATGGTCAACCTGATGTCAAACTCTACAAAATAAGGTACACTTAGATAATCAACTAACAGAACAAGGGAGAGGGCCTCGTCAGACCACATGGATGGGCAGAATAGGATATGTGTGGACGCGCGGGGGGGGGGGGGGGGGGGATGGGTATGAGGCGGCAGCTCATTTTACTAAATGAGCTACCAAGCGATAAGAGTGGTGAGGTCCACACCTTTTGATATGACAAGGGGGGTCTTCCCACATGGCCATCTCTTGGTAGCTTACGTATATATATTTATATAAATATATATAATATACATATGCACATATCTACATAAGTAATATATTATATATATATATATATATATAATATATATATATATATATATAATATATATATATATATAATTATATATATATATTATATATATCTGTGTGTGTTGTGTGTGTGTGTGTGTGTGTGTGTGTGTGTGTGTGTGTGTGTGTGTGTGTGTGTGTTGTGTGTGTGTGTGTACATATAAGCACAGTGCAATTTGCACGTCAAAGAGTTTACCCAATATTCATCAAAAATTATGTATATATGTATGTGTGTGTGTACATATGTATGTATATAAGTATAAATATACATGTATATACACATATATGTATGTATGTGTATATGTATACATGTAAATACATGCATATAGTGCGTATATATTCATATATACATATGTATGTGTACACAAAAAGAAAAGGATATTGAAATCAAAACGGCTACAACTTAAATAACAAGAAAAAGAGCCACAAATGACAATAACTATTTGTTTAACCCATAAGAATCTGACCACAACAATTAATTGGCATTTGAACTTACCAAGATTCAGATCTATGCACAGGTATGATGGTAATGAGCTCTTGACTGAAAATCTACTATGGTAATGAGTTGGACTAGGAGCATATGGCCTATTCTTGCACTGATTATCAAAGGTGTTATAAGGAAGCTGCCACGTTCGGTGTAGTTTTATGTATTAATGTGACATGGGGTGGCAATAAGATTTTAGTTGATTATTGGTGTCAAGCTCTAACCATGGAGTAAGGTCGACAAGGACAAGGCAAGACCAATCAAATTAAATTTATATGCAAGTATTAAAATAACCAGCACCATTATCACTAACAATTCAAAAGACATACCAGATTAGGTACATAAAAGAAGTCTACTTGTAGTTAAGGTTGATCGGGAATAGTGTATTGGCTATGACAACAAGCTCATCTTGTTACTGGACTAAAGACCTCAAGGCTGAAGGCTAAACTGCAATTAACTCTGCATAAGGTGCTTCCTGGAAAGATATTTTTATATATCTTTTCATTCTTTTACTCTTGACAAGGAACTGATCCATTACGGATTTCCTGGTTGACTTGGAAAAGAAACCTCCAATCTCAATAACAAGATGGTGGTGGTGGTGGTGGTGGCAAAAATGATAAAAGGAAAAGAAGGGAAGTAAGAGAAAAAAGATCCATCAGATAAAAACACGGTGCAATTGCACATCAAAGAGTTTATCCAATATCCATCAAAAGTTAAGGTGCAGGAGTTGTGCACTATTACAAGTCAAGTAAGGTGGTCTTACGTCCCATTAAGAGTTTATGCAATATCTACTCAAGCCATTCAAAGATTTATAAATGCTGAAAAGGGAAAGGTAAATTAGAAAACTATAAGAAAGAAAATAATTAGAAAAATAAACAAGAAAACTTTTAAGTCAAAATTCTAAAGGAAAGAATATAAAGCCAACAAAATGTGCAACATATCTAATGATACCATCCCCAGACAGCTATTTACAGTAAGACATATCAAGTAAGATTATAGAATGACTCTGTTAGGTTGTATAGTTATACCTATAATTGTCAAACACGTCCACACGAACACACATAGTCATTGGAGATAATAAATGCATGGAATAAAGGAAAAAGTGCATTACCGTTTTTAGTCGGTCCTGATCTTTACATTGACTTTGATCAACAATTGGGGATATATTGCCTGCAGGATCTTTTGCACCATCATTCGTGTGAACAACCGTATCTTGACCAATCTCATCTACTAGTTCTTCATTAGAATCTGGTTGAATTTTTTCTTCAGATGTAACTACCAACTTATCCTTCTTTAATACCCCATTGCTGTTCTTTGCTCTTTTATGTGATAACATAGACTTAACAGAGTGGGCATCAGCATTCTCAGGATCTGGGACTATAATATTGTCTGGAGTATCTAAACCTGATGCATTGGCAACTTTTGGGCAATCGACTCTTGCTGCTAAACTACCTGATGATATTGCGGAGCCATTCCAAAACTTCAGATGTCTAATACCAGCAGACACATATGCATTCCCTTGAAACCATTTGGCTATTTTCGGTCTCAAATCAGAAGGGAAGGATGAGATTTCGCCCTGCCAATGAAACTTAGATAAGCTAAAAGAGAAATATGGATTTCAAGTGAGTAAAGAACAGAAAAAAGTTGGGAATACCATGAGAGCTGTTTCCAAGGAGTCAGGAGAGATGCCTATTGCCGATGCAATGTCACCAACAACATATTCGCCTTGAGCAATTAGCTAAATAATGGAGAAAATTTTAAATATAAGTCTGCATGTTTATGAAACAGCCCAATATATGTTCGCAAAAGAAATAAAGCCCTAAACACCTTTTTAACAAATGGGATAAGAGTAGGACTATCTGACAAACTGTTCTCAGCCTCATTAACTTCAAAATCTATGTTCTTGCTTGACTGCATATCACCATTTTCTGCGCTCAGGTTCATAGATGAACCATCTTCTTCAGTGGTTGCCTCATTCTTAATGACTTCACTAGAAATTGAACTTGCCACTTCAGCTTGTGTCACGTTTTCCTCTTTAACTTTGCAACTGAGTCTTAACTTAAGTGGCTTGTTGGGGAGCACAGTTGCAGATGGAGGCTTTGCACCCAAGAAATCATCCCCAGCGGTCCGGGTAACGTTTCTAGTGCGCAGGACACTGTCAACATCCTGAGAAGTTGAGTGCTTTGAACAAAAAGCCCGCAACTCAACCTACACAGTTTGTCAAGACAATCATTTATCAGCACTTTTAACTAGAATAAACTAAAAAATGGACCAAATATCTACAGGTGAAAACCAAAAAACCATAAATACTAACATTATCGCATCCAAACTTCCCCCAAATCTCCATTAGATGTCTTGCCTCCCTTGCACAATAAGGATGAAAAGCTGTCCTGCATGTTCCTGAAGCATAACCCAGAAACATGTGATTTCACCTAACGGATATATGGGGATTCAAGAGAGGAAACTATTCAATAACTTGAAGAAGGAAGGTATCTACAACCTAGAACCATCAAAATCTGCAGCTCATATGCATATATTTCATGAAGCAAAAAAACAAATACAATTATACAAGAACACCAAAAGTTATAGCTTGAATGCAGCAATACATCAATATACATACAAAATATATATACAAGACTTACATACGTATATAAGACCTACGTATGTAGACTTTTATAGTTTCCTAGAACAAACTAATTATTGGTTTGTCTATCAAACAACAACGTGGTAGATCTCTAAGGGTGGTCCATGATGTGAATTGTGATCTGCACATCATGAAATTTGTGAAAAGAATTGTGTTTTTCAGGAGCTCTAATAGTTTGCTGAATGGTACCAAATGAATGGCATTTTAATACAGAAGAAAGAGGTCATTTCACAAGTGTCTAATGACATACATCAAGATGAACAACATGGAACATCTATATGAAAACAAACTTTTAGTTTGTTCTCGGAAAAAAAGAGCTATGTTGCCACTGATACAGACGCATATACTATTTATATACATAGATGCCTACATATAGTGCATTGTTAAGATGAAACAAAAAATAAGATACTAGCACTCAACAGAAGGGGATACAGATAACACAAAAATGCTGCATCAAGTTGTTGCATTTGAGTTGTAAGTGGAAAGGAACAAAATTTAATCTCATAGCACTGTACAATTAAAATATCCATCTCACTGTCACAGTCAAAAGCAATAATGAACCAAAAAAAGCATCATTACATATTTTAAGTCATAAGCCCACATTATATACAGTACCACAGGAAAAATGAAAAGTGTGAAGCATAATGTCCTGTCTGGAAAGCCAATATGACAGTTGAAAAGTAAAAATCAAGCCTTAAATGACATCCATACAAATGGATAGATTTCACATGCTATTCACATGCAGGAAAAAGCAGGTAACCTTCAACAGATTGTAGCAACAAAACCAGACATATAACGAATGTTGGCAGCAAATTTTAACAAAACATTGCGTGCAGTAACACCTCAAGATGAACGTACTTGCATTTCCTTGATGATGACAATGTCCTCTTGTGACAAGACACTATCACGCTGTCACTCACAAACTAGATATTTTGATCCAGTAGAAATTCTTTTTGGGTATTTAATGGCCAAAATCTCAACAGTCACATGATTTCATAAATGGCTAAAAATGAAGTAGAAAACTGAAGAGCAAACATGTCACGGGAGTTCATGAACGGAACATTGATTCATGAACGGCATCCAAACTCTAGGCAATGTGCTTAAGGTTGAAAACAGAAATATGACAACCTGAAGATTGGGGTGAAGATTTTCTTCAAGCTTGTTGGTAGAGCATAAAAATCACAATGACAGACTTGGTTTTAAGCATCAAGCACTAAAACAACGCCTAGCACATAAAAAAGGGATTTGACCTTGAACTTAAGGATTATATCTTACAAAAGAAAGTATAAAAACATTGTAGCATCAAAAGATTCAAAACCAAAGGTATAATGCATTGGTGGCAGCAAATTTTAACAAAAATTTGCGTGCTGCAACACATCAAGATGAATGTACCTACATTTCCTTGATGATGACAATGTCCTCTAGTAACAAGACACTACCACACTGTCACTTACAAACTAGGATATTCCTTCAAGTTTCTTGGTAGAGCGTGAAAATCACAATGACAGACTTGGTTTTAAACATCAAGCATTAAAACAACGCCGTGTACATAAAAAGAATTTGACCTTGAACTTAAGGATTATATCTTACAAAAGAAGTATAAAATCATGAACATGCCTTACAAAAGAAGTATAAAATCATGAACATGCCAATGGACCTCTAATCTTTCTAATGGTATGGCAAAAGGAGAGCAGTCAACAGAAACTTACCGGAGCTACACCGGACACACACACCATGTTTCACCTTGCACACGTTACAAACCATCTTTGTCTTCATCTCCGTAACATCCACAATATTCACAACTGGCTCCATCGTCTTAGTATCCTCCACATAGACATGAGGTGTCCATAGACTGCAGAACAAGTGTGCAAACTTCTTTTTCCCTTCATTATTAAGATCCCCGCCAACAGGTTTCAGAGCACCACCTTCCTTCGGGCAGAGAATGCAAGGCCTCAAACCTTCGTTTCCTCTCTTATCATCCCACGTTTCCTCCACATGCTTACACCAAGAACACACCCACTTCTCAACAACAGCTTCAAGAATCCCATAACACTTCTTATGAACCAAAGCACCACATGAACTACACGAAATAATTTTGTTCGATTTTCCTCCACTCTCCCCTAAACAGCATACATGACAGCGAGCAGAACCCTGCTCAGAGTGCGGAAGTATCAATAACTGGTCCAGGCCAGCATCACTTCCCAGTAGTTTTCGCTTCTTTGTAGGCCGCAGTGTAGTGAGAATTGCTCTATGCTTCGAACCCAAAACCCAATTCATAGACGAGCTTTCATCCTCATTCGCATCCTCTTCTTTTACTTCTGGAATGGGCAATGTACTAGTTTCAGCGGTACTTAAGCCCCCAACACTGTCTATTTCCATAGGTTTCTCCTCCTCCTCCTCTTCTTTTACTACCTCTGAACTCACCCCCACTTCACTCCCACTAAATATAGCATCTTTCTTCTCCAATTCTAAAGAACTATCAAGAACCGGAATCGAAAAGCAAGAATCAAGGGAATCAAGCAAGCCTCTAGGTCTCAGACTCTCAATATCAGCTTCAGTGATTGGGCGAAAGTAAACCTCCATCAAATCCCACAAATTCGGCGCCTTTGACTGCTTCGAAACCTTCGGAGCAGCGTCGACAGCTTGCTCGGCATGGGACGACGAGGACTTCTTGAACTTCCTCCGGCCATCGGAGTACCTGGCCGCGACGCCAAAAGGCAGCGTCGTGGGTCTCGAGGCGGCCTCCTCGGTGTCGAAGGGGCATCTCTCGGCGAGAGCCTTGAGAGCCTGAGCGCAAGATCCACGGCCGCCGGCATCGCTGCCGTCGTCGTCGACGTTGCGGTCACTCGTCCGCCTCTCATCGGAGAAGCCCTAGGGCTAAGGGTCTGGGACGCTCGCGCGCCGCGGGTGGTTAGTGGCCGCCGGGGCTAGGGTTAGGGTTAGGGTTAGGATTAGGGTTTCGTATCGATTTGGGATTTTTTTTTTTTTTTTTTTTTGCCCCCCGTTTTCGGGTTCGAGGTTTTTTTTTTTTTTTTGGGTTCTATTCTCTGGCTTCGATTTCGGATCCGAGAGAGAGAGAGAGTCGGTTTTTGTTTTTATTTATTTTTTTTCCAAGGGACTCGTGGGCTGGGCTGAGGTAGTGCGCGAGAAAAAAGATTAGTTTTTCTAGGATTTTTTTAGCTGTTTACCCCCATATCAATCATATTTGTAAATTTACTCCCCCTTAACTTTAGGGTTGTTTCACGTAACCTCCTAAACTTTATTTACTTCACATAAACCTCCTGAACTAATGTGTGTCTTACAAAACCCCACTGAACTTTAGCTCATCTCACCTAACCCTCCGTCTGTAATTTGCAAATAACTAAAATTTTTTTGAAAGAAAAGAACTAAACTTTCAGGGTAGGAGTATGTTGTCTTTAAATGTCAAGTGATAAAGTTTGGAACTTTTTACTCAAATATATTTTAGTTATTTACAAATTACAGACAGGATTATATGATATAAGTTAGAGTTCATGGGGGGTTTTGTGAGACAACCTATAGTTCAGAGGGTTACGTAACTTTACTAAGTTTAGGAGAGTTTTGCGCAACACCCCCAAAGATTAGGGGTTTTTTGTAAATTTTTAAAATCCCTAAAAACTTTGTATTGTTTTCTACAAAGAAAACTCTTTGAACTTTGTTTTTCCAACTAAACTTTCTAAGTTTTCTCATCAAACATTCAACCAAAGTCTATAAATTTTGAACCATAATCTCCTATCTATAATTAGTTGTAACTGTAGAGATTGGCGTAATGACGTCGAAACCACAAAAACATCTCTATAATTGAACGGTTTGAACGAGTAAACCATTCTGAAAACTAACCTAAATTCTCACAACTTTCTAATTTCTGAAGCATGATTAATAGAGAATACATGAGATTTGAAATCACTAAACAAGAAGAAGAAAAACAAGAATCAAATGGTCTTATTTTGGTATTTCCGTGTGAAAGGGGGAAAAAAGCTGAGAGGCATGGTGGGAAAAGCCGATGGATTTTGCAGGAAAAACTATGGCGTTTTGCCCGGAAAAAAAAACAAAGTTTCATAATGGCAAACTGATGAAAAGTTTTGGAGATTTTGCGAAATTGCCCTTCAGCAAATATGTAGATTTGGCGGGTGTGTTTCGAATATGGTGGATTAGGGGTAGATGACTAAAAAACTTTTTTTTTTTTTTTGATGAAGTTTGATTTGGGACCGAGTCTATCTTTCGTAATGGCTTCGGGCTGGTTTCATTAAAAGGGCCCCACCCACGTTTTTTATTACTGTGTGGACCCCGCGGGCAGCTGTCAGGTATTGCGTTTGTTGTTGGGTGTTGATTTTTCCCTCCTTTACTGATTTGCGCGCGCGCGCAGAGCGAAGTAGAAAACCCGAACCCCATGAGGGCCCGTTAATTACGCTTTTGGGCCTAACCGGATCCATTCATCGTAGCCCAACCCGATAAGACTACTATAAAAACCCTACTTTTATCTGGACCCTCACTGCTCCCTCTCTCTCTCTCTCTCTCTTCCCCCGCCGCGCTGTCGGGTTTTACGCCGGCCCGCCGCCGAAACCCTAGCTTGGGGAAATGGTGGGACTATCGATTGGAGAGAAGAAATTTATACAGGGCGGGATTTCTCAGGATCTACGAGCAGATGGCCGGCAAAGGCGGGACTTTCGACCGATTTCGGTCGAAATTGGAGTGATCCCTCAGGTTGGGGATCATTCTTTGGTCCTTTTCTTCACCGAAATCGATAGTTTTTTACTTTCTTTATTTGATTGTATTGATGAATTCTTAATAGGCAAATGGCTCGGCTCGAGTCAAATTGGGAGCAACTGATGTTATCGCTAGTGTCAAGGTACTTACTCTAACCCTATTTCTAATTTATACATTCAAAAGTTTTTTTTTCCTTTAATTAATTACACCCCTTAAAAATAGAGTTTTCCCTCGTATTAGGCCCTAGATTCATTCTTAATTTTATATTATACCCTCGTATGTTCATATTTCTGGATAACGCATGGGAATTGAGCCCATTAATGCTCCCTTTCTTACAGGCTGAACTTGGTAGGCCGAGCTCTCTTCAACCCGACAAAGGGAAAGCAGCTATTTTTGTCGATTGCAGTCCTACAGCGGCTCCTATTTTTGAGGTGCGCGAGTGTTAATTGGATGATATCTACTTTGTTATTCCATCGAAATTAGGAAAGTTTTGGAGGTGTTGCGATGAATTAGTCATTAGTCTGTTTCGTATCATTTTACGACTCTATTATTTAATGTGGAGAATGGTTGTCATTTAGCTCATTGTTGAAAGATGAACGTGTTACTTATAGTGGATTGTTAGTTGAGATGAATGGCCATTTTTAAACTTCGCGTTAGATGTGTAGAACTGAAATAAACAATGTTAAAAGCTATCATGTAACAGAGTTTTGACTTTTGCATACTTTTCATGAATAACCATGTCCATGGAATGGTTAGATTTGTTGGATGCTGATGACAATCGTACTTGAAAGAATTCGGTGATTGCGGATGAGTGCAATAGAGGGGTTCGCTTGGCCAAATGTAGGTCACCAGCCATCAAGACGGTGCTTTCTAAAATAAGGGGGGGAGTGCATGGGGACTAGGATAAAGCAGGAGACAAGGAATAGGTTATAGCTTGCTCAAAGTAGTGCTCCAGTTATTTAAATCTCAATGTTCTAAGTTATGCTCCAGTTATTTAAATGGCAAAGTTGTAAAGTTAAGGAAAGTTGTTGTAGTGGTTGACTGGATGCGTAATAATTTCGAGCAAATTTGTGAAGGAAAGGGACGAGGCAAAAATGTTGGAACGTAAAAGTTATATTTTGCTTCCATCTCTCATTAGGCTTGGGCATTTAAACATACATAAACACGGACATGTCTGATTTTCTTTTGAGTATCATTTTCTTTTAGATACTAGAGCAGAAAACTACTGATGCAAAGACATAATAAATAAATAAATATTATTGAAAATATGGGGGTAAAATAAACTAAAATGAAGGAATACAATGTTTCCCTGAGACACAGGAGATCTCAAAAGGATCCATCATACACAGTGGCAAACCTCCCCCCAAAGTAACCACTACTAGATGCAAAGTGTCCCCCCAACGATCCAAAGACAAAGGATACAGCCAAACATTAATTTTTGATTAATCATTGTAACTACTTCATTTTCACTTTTTTTTTTTGGTTCTTTTGGATGATGAAACCTTTCTTGCTATTGCGTGAATGGGGTTTCAAGAAATTGGAAGTCTTTCTTTACCAATCCTCACAAATTGAACTGTATGGAAGTGTAGATCAACTTGCTTCATTCTGGGCTTTTTGGAAGTGTAGATCAACTTGCTTCATTCTGGGCTTTTTTTTTCCTTCTCTCAGTTCTCTTTTCAGGTGTCATGGTCAGAGCTGTTGCTTCTAATGACTAATTTTTTCCAAAAAAGACAATTTATCTTTCACTAATATAAATATTACATGTTCAATATTCTAATTTGTATAGAAACTAATACTTACGATATTAACGCATCATAATTCTTTCTAAACACACTTCTTTGATTAGGGCAGAGGCGGTGAAGAGTTGTCTACGGAGCTTTCACTTGCACTTCAGAGATGCTTGTTAGGTGGTAAGAGTGGAGCAGGTACAGATTCTTGCTAGACCATGCTGCGGATGTTTATCAATCTGATTGTGGTGCAGCAGCCACTAAGTTTTTAACTTTGGTTTATATAGATATTTGACAAGAGAATCTGATCCCTCCTTTTGAGTTAGATTGGTGAACCTCATTAAGGGGAGAACCTGATCCTCCTTTTGGGTTATGAAGTCATAATCTCTTTCCCAGATAACAGGGATTGATTGGTAAAATAACATACAAGATGTACATTAACGATCAATGCATAGATATTCAATTTTTCTCGGCTCAGTTCTATTGTACTTGGTCTTATTCCCCTGTGCTTTAGCTTGTACTAACTTTAACTTTTGTTCCTTCTCTATTTGTTAAAACTTTCATGGGCTTCCATACGTCTTCTTGATGTAGCCTTTCCATAAATTGACTATAAACTATATTCTTCAAAATTTGTTGATAATTTTCCTTTTGTTTTGCGGTAAATAACACTAAATCCCCTGAGGTTTGCAACTTTGACAACAAATCTCCCTAAGGTTTAGAAAGTGACACTTTGTCCCCCTCTCTATTTATTCTTAATGTAATACATCACATGATACTCATGTGACTACTTAAGGACCAAAATACCCTTTACCATGATTTTCCTTCTCCATTTTTTTTTTACTGCAGAGTTAGGTTTTTTCCTTTTTTTCTTTTATAATTTGAGGGAATTCGAACCCTATAACTTCTAAACTCTATAAAGTATAAAAATAAAAGATTTTGTCTTGTTTTCTTGGATGAAAATTTTAAGGGTAGAATCAGCAAAAGGTGCTCAATAGTTTTTTTATGACAACTACGAAATGGATTATAAAAAACCAGAAGATGAAATATGATGGAGATAAATTTTTTTGAAAAAACTCTAGAGGGTATTTTGGTCATTAAGGGGTCACATAATTAAGGGGTCACATAAATATCATGTGACCCTATTAGATTGAGAACTAATAAGGAAGGGGAGAAAGTGTTACTTTCTAAACCTCAGGGGGAGTTTTTGTCAAAGTTGCAAACCTCAAGGGGATTTAGTGTTATTTACCCTTTGTTTTGTGAGCTTATAATTGATTTTATCCTTTCGTGGGTTTGTACTTAATTTCATCCTGATTCTTCAATGTAAGCCAGGGGCTGGAATTGATCTTTCATCTCTGGTAATTGTCGAGGGTAAGGTTTGTTGGGACCTCTACATTGATGGGCTTGTTGTCAGTTCAGATGGTAATCTGCTGGATGCACTTGCCGCTGCTATCAAGGTACACAATTAGTAGATGAATAATTCAAAAATACTATATGCCTGAACTGAATAAACTCTTTTCAAGTGGCAATTGTATAGTCTTTCTTGTCAAATAAATTTGCTTATAACTGTTAAAATATACAGTGATTGAGAAGCAAAACTCATTTGTTTGGTAAATTAGATTTTTAGGTAGAGGTTTTTACTCCAAACAGGTTCTTCTCGAATTTCCCCTCTTTTAGGTGCTGTTATAATGATCTTCATAGCATGAAATTGGCGATAGGTTCTTATTTAGCTGTCACAAACTTTTTTATCATGATTGTGACTCCATTTGTTATTTTGTTTAGATGAGCATTTACATTACTTTTTTTTAATTGGAGGATTAGTCAAATGTGGTAACTAGTGATTGTCTAACTGAAGAGCCAATAGTGTAACATTTATGTGCCTTTTCGCTTTCTTATTGACTTGCTACAAAATGTAAAGTTCACTAGGTTTGGGAAGGCGTGATATTTCTACCTAAAGAAAGTGAGCTCAATACAAGCGCTATTTGTAGGAATTGTTAAAAGCTCTATTCATTGTTTCTTAATTGTCCTAAGACTTGTGCCGCTTAATAATTATTTCTTTACTCTGCTAGGCAGCATTGAGCAATACAGGCCTTCCAAAAGTTAGTGTTGATCTTGCAGCTGCAAAAGATGACCAGCCAGAGGTCGATCTAAGCGATGAAGAATTTCTTCAGTTTGATACGTCTGGGATTCCTGTTGTCATAACATTAACTAAGGTGAGTAGCTTGATGAAAAAAGCAATAGATTAGGCTGTTATTATAATGATCATCATCAAATACATGAGTATTGTTGTCGCCTTGTGTTTGTGCATGCTCATGTGTGTGTTGCGCTCTTTGCTTAAAGAAAGAGCATAGCTTCATTATCTCTCTGTGGACATTTAAATCCACGAAAAATTAAAATATAATATAAAACCATTTATGGTGTGAAAAAAGTAGCAATTATACAATATGTTCAAATCAATATGTGTGCTGTTGATGGAAATCCTCATTTGTATGTCCATTGAAAGGTGAAACTATAAAAGTTCAAGAATTTTCCATCCATCTCCGAGAGCAGTGATTTTTACTTGTCAGATCGATCCTTTTCCTTTTTCCTTTTTTTTTTAAATGAGTCTATGTAAACCCACTGGATTCCATAATCACTTACCTATAATATTTGTGTCCAGAACCTGAGAAAGTTGCTCATCTGGCTATCGGGGAAAGTTTCAGCTTAATCAACCTCTTCTATTGCCTTCTATCATAATAATGGAACTCACAATCCATTAACAACATTTTAGTCTATGTTCAATGAGCATATATGATTCGAGACCATGATTGATCCGTACTTATGATAATATTATCAGATTGGTAGGCATTACATAGTGGATGCAACTTCAGAAGAGGAGTCTCAGATGAGTTCAGCTGTCTCGGTCTCTGTGAACAGGCGTGGACAAATCTGTGGCATGACCAAACGAGGCGGTGCAGGTTTAGACCCCAGTGTCATCCTCGATATGATATCCGTGGCAAAATCCATAAGCCAACAGTTCATGTCGGTACTTGATTCTGAGATTGCTGCTGCTGAGGCTGCTGAAGCTGATGACGCATAAGATGTTCCGAAGCTTCAGTTCTCGCCCATAAACATTGATGTATTAGGTTATTGCTTCCTTTTCCTCCTTGTCTGGGTAACCTACTGTTGTACAGTCTTGAGGTTTAGGGTTCATGCTCATGATGCAATTTGCTTAGTTTAGCTTGGTAATTTTTATTGTTTGAGGGGGGAAATTTTGAGTATGCTTCTATCATTTTGATGTAATGTATGTCGAGTTCTGCTCAGCGTGCTTGCCTGTTTATAATGGGGTTTTGGCACATATACCCCTCGTATCTTAGATATTTGTAAAATTGCCCTCTAAATCTTGTTATTTGTAAAATTGCTCCTAAATTCTCTCGGGTCGATTTTTCCTACCCCTCTCACAAGAATATTAGTTGTTAAACAAAAAATTGTTACAAATCTATTGTAAATTATTAGAAATTTTTGCATTTTGTCTAGTTCAAAAACTGACATTTTTAAGTTGGAGGGGCGGAAAGATCCAACATGCAAGATTGGAGTGGTAATTTTACAGATTTGTGGCGTATAATTGCGTGGACCCTTTTCATATTGTGATAGTAATCTTTTTGTCCTTCATATCTTCACGAAAACAATGCATTTCGTTGAAAACTGGATTTAGGCTTTGATCAAAAACTCGAAAACAAATGAAACTGCCTTTAAAATCACGACGAAATGGGTTTCAGAAGAAATTGAGAAGGAATTTGGGGGACTTCGAAAAAATCCATCTTTTCATAATTCAAACCTGGAAAATAGAAAACTTTGGATTCAGATTCTTCACCTGATAGATCGTATTGTTAACAAACCATAAAGAATGATGAATATCAAATAAGAAAAATGAGAAATATGTTTGAGAGTGAATTGCATGGAAATAGTTAGGTTAAAGTTGCATCTAATTTAATTATTTCTTTCAACCTTAAGATTAGTATGAATCCTATTTAATTAAATCATCTATTATAAAAAGGAAACTTCGATCAATTTGGAAAAATTATATTGCGTTGGAGAATTTTGTGTCCTTCAATTAGCAAATTTTCTATTTTTTTTTTTCGACCCCTATAAAAAAAGGACGAGGATTGGCATCCTCGGCCATATAACATAAAAGATAAGAGCATCTCCAACAGCTTCTCTAAATTTTTTTTTAAAATGGTGAAGCAAAAGTTATATTCTCCAAATTATTTTTACATAAACTCCAACAGCTTCCCCATTTTGAAGAATCCATTTTTTCCTTCAAAAATTTGGAGAATGCTGTAGATTTGGGAAAGTTTCCTTATTTTTTCTCCTTCATCCCTATTTTAGGGAATGAGATGGGGAATCTGTTGGACCAAAAACCTAACTATATTCTCCAAAAGTGAGAAATGGAGAACCTGTTGGAGATGCTCTAAAACCCCGTTGGACAATTTACAGACCATCACTCCCAACTTCAGGAGTGTGGCCGACACAAGTATAATTGTAAAGGTCCAAAGTGTATGTATTTTCTATATTAATCACACTCGTTTAGCCTTTTATATAGAATGAATGTTTTTGAAATTAGATTTCTTGTAATTAAAGTCACTATCGAGCTTATCAAAAATTTAATAAGAATATACCAACATTTTATATTCTACAAGACAAGCAAGTAAATGGACTCACGACCATTACAGACTGTTCATTTCTTAGCCATTTGATGTGAAGTTATAATTCTAAAACTAAAAGCGAAAAGTGACGGGCATAGATGATCATCTTCCATGCAACATAAAATCCCGCGAACCAACATGCATCTCCATAAATATAATTTATTAGAGATAAATTATCTTGAAAAATAAACATAAACTATTTATTTATGAATATATATATGCCCAAAAATGACTAAATACCCATATTGGTATTTTCATTCCACCCCATTTACCAAGAAGGTATTTTAATTAGACAAACATGCTTTAAAGTATTTTAATTAATTCAACTTACCAACAAAGCTATTTTTCTCGTCGGCGACCAGTTTTCCAGCGAGAGCTCGTCACGTGCGTGGCACGTGATGACTTAAACTGTTTTTTAGCTGCTGATGTGGCACGGATCTGTCCTATTTTGGGTGAATTGAAATTTTTAGAGGGTTAATTCCCGTCTTTAAACACTGCCACGTCAGAAAATCCGTGCCACCTCAGCAGCTAAAAAACAGTTTAAGTCATCAACCTGCCACGCACGTGACGAGCTCTCGCAACAAAGCTATTTTTCTCGTCGGCGACCAGTTTTCCAGCGAGAGCTCGTCACGTGCGTGGCACGTGATGACTTAAACTGTTTTTTAGCTGCTGATGTGGCACGGATCTGTCCTATTTTGGGTGAATTGAAATTTTTAGAGGGTTAATTCCCGTCTTTAAACACTGCCACGTCAGAAAATCCGTGCCACCTCAGCAGCTAAAAAACAGTTTAAGTCATCACGTGCCACGCACGTGACGAGCTCTCGCTGGAAAATTGGTCGCCGACGAGAAATAAGACCTTGTTGGTAAGTTGAATCAATTAAAATGCCTTAAAGCAGGTTTGTCTTATTAAAATACCTTCTTGGTAAATGAGGTGGAATTAAAATACCAATATGGGTATTTAGCCGCCCAAAAATCATAAGCCGTTTATTTTTATGAATATTCTTAAACCTTACATTTTATGGATATTTCATGCATAAATAGATCATGTCAAAACCATATGATTTAGTTTTCCAGAAGTTATACGTAGGGGGTGGAAATGAATATTCAAACAATTAACAAATTGTTTGTTAAGTGTTTGAGATGCTATGTAGTTATATTCGATTCGGTAGTTTATTTAATACAACAAATAATTTTTAGTGTTCTAATTCATAAATGAAAGAATTTAACTGGATATTTATTCGATTTATTTGCTGATCAGATATTTATTTAAACATTGATTGCCTATAGATTATTATTAATATTACACGCGATATGGTATACTTCCAACCCACTTAAGTTTTTAAATTAGGTTCCATATACTAATATTGAGGGGCTTAAATGAGTCTTCAATCAGGTTTTTATGAAATATTTAAATTAAATATATATACATCATCATTATTATAAATAAATAGTTTTCAATTATAAAATTAAATCCTACTTGAAAATCAAATACTTTATTTTAATAGTCGATAAATATTCATGAATATTTATCAACTATCAAGTATTTGAATATATGTTCGAAAAACCCTATAAATGGATTTCGAATTCAGATTCAGAAAAATTAAAAAAACTAAAATATAAACACCTTCGTATTCTATTCAATTCGTTTTAATTCCTCTTTATATTCAAGTAGATGTAATTTCTTCTAAACTTGAAAATATGATGTAATTTCTTCTATTTTTTAAAAAATATTCTTTTCTTGAAAAAGGGATTTAAAGTGTTTACTATCGAACCATACTTCTTTTATGCTTGGATTCATGGTTTAAATAGCAAAAGATTTGATAATTAAAAACTTAAGAACCACAAGGTTTTAACTCTAAACTGATACAAGAGGGGAAGATCGAAGGAGGAGAAGGAGAACGAAGAGTTGTTTTTTTTTTTTTTTTTGGATAGCTTAGTCCGGAAATTAAAACTAAGACGTCATATTGAAACCTCCCAATCCTCCCGGTTCATCCCAGTGGGTGGAGGAGAGAGCACAAGAATTGTTTGGGAAGAGGAATAAATAAGTTAAATTAAATAGAAATGACAGTAGCAGCCTTCCGATTTTCTAACCTATTTCACCTTTTTCCGCCATTTAAAAAAAGTCTCACTAGAGGCACATCATGAACCACACTCTCAACCATACCCCTACACTCTTTATAGTGCTAGTGGGCCATGCATGAAATTTTTTAAAAAATATCATGTATGGTCCACTAACACTATAAAGAGTGTAGGGGTATGGCTGCGAGTGTGGTTCGTGGTGTGCCTCTAGCATTTTTTTAATTTAAAAAATACAAAAAATATCTATTTCGGATAACATTCCGCAAAATTTTTGTTGATACTATCGTATCTTGAATGCCATCATAACACCGTAGACTAGCTTCCCTATTGGCAACCTAAAAAGGTAATACACATATCCCTTCAAAAAGCTAATGTAAAACAATTAATTAACCACCATAAAGCTTTAAAAAAGCACATCTTAAAGCTAAAAAGATGATGATGAAAAAGAAAATTCAAAAAAGAAAAGTAAAAAAAAAAAAGCCCGGTTACTTCCCACCACTCGCCCACTTCCTCCTCCTTCCACTCCCCCCACTCTCCAAATAAATCCAAAACCCCATGTTCAATAAGGATTGTCTTTACACATATATCCCCAGGCTATTCAAAATTTTGCGAATGCACCCTCTATATCTAAAATTTTACCCATTTACCCCAACTTCTTCCACATCGGAATAAAGTATTCCCATAGGTTACGTTAAGAAATATTATCAATATATTCATAGATTTTCTCATAGATGTTTGGCTAAAATTTCTACCTTCCGTTATTTAAAATCTAAAAGATTTTAGAGAGCGTCTGTTTGCATGCAAGTGAAAGATGAAGGCGGGAAATTAAAGTTCTTTTAAGATTTGAGGTATTTGTTTGCATGCAAGTGATTATAAAAGTTATAAAATACAAAATTATCAGTATAATTTAATGTAATTTTGACTTTCCCTAAATAAGGGGTGAAGTCATATGAAAGCAACAAAAATAATAACCAAATTAAATAAAATTTAATTGTATTTACAAATAATCTTATTTTGTCGCATCATCTTCACTTTTCACTTTCAACAATAGCTTCATTCAAGAAAAAAAAACACACTATACTTCACTTGCATGCCAACGTGGATGGACAAGTCATTTGCAAAATAATAATAATAAATAATAATTAACCATAATAACCTATAAATTTTCAAATCGCTGTTGAACTTCAAAACACCCCTCAGTGCAAACATACCTCTTATAGTATCACGAAATTGCAGACAGATTCTATATAGTTTTATTCGTGCAAATAGACCTGTTTGATAAATTTCTCTGACTCGTAATGAAGTCTCATTAAAAAAAAAGGCTCTGAGGAGTAAAATAGACCCATTGAAGTTCTATTGCGTCTCCTAGTACAAATACAACAAGCCTTTCATCTGCAACTTGGGCTATTACAAGGAGTCTATTTGCAATTAGCCCAATCTAAAACTTAAAAGCTCGGGGTATTTAAGCTGATCATGGTAGAATTCGAGACTAAATTAGCAAATATCTAAAGTTCACCGGAAAAACTCCCAAATGTGTCTAATTTCGCCGGGGTATATAGGTTTTAAAGAAAAAAAAACCTTGAAATAAATAAGGGGAAATTGTTTCTAGCCCCCAATTTTCTTAGACGTATTTCACCTCCTCCCAAGACTTTTTCAATGCTCTCAAAACCCCAAAAAGTAAACTCATAATTACCTGAGCCCTCAAAACACAAAACCCAAGAGTTTAAAACATGTGAAGCCCATAATACCCTTTCTCTCTCTCTCACTCTTTTTCATGACGTTAATGTGATG